GGTGTCCAGCCCTGAGGGGATTTTGGCCCGGGGCGGGGGCCTGGCCCTGGGGCTGGCCCCTGGGGGGGGCCTTGGCCTGAAGGGGGCCTGGCCCTGGGGCTGACCTGGGGAGCTGCAGCTCAGCTTGGGAAGCCTTGGCTCAGCTCTGATCCCCCTGCGAGGAGCAGGGTGCAGGCCCTGGCGAGGTTCTGGGGGGTGCTTGGCCCTGCGGGAGGGGGGGGCTGGCAGGGCCCTCCCGGGAATCACAGCAGGTGCCTTTGGAGGCCGGGGAGTGCCGGGACATTAGCCAAGGCCACTGGGGCAGAGCTGCAGGAGCATGCGGGAGGTGGACAGCTGCCACTCCCCAGCACATCACGGGCCCCCCCCGGGTCAGGCCCTGCCCCGAGTGGCCTCCTGCACCATGGCAGGGACCCACCCACCATTTTTGGTGGCTCCACACCCGAAGGCCAGAGCTGGTGGGTCTGTACTGGGGTGCACTGGCTACACTCAGACCCCAGCGCCAGGCTCCCGCCGGTTGTGGCTTGCTCTTCTGAAACCAGCTTGTTGAAAATGTGGGATGGTGAATGGGAATGGTTGATGTCGGTGAAATAAAGACTTTTTAAGAGAAATTGTAGCTAATGATGAGTGAGAACTGCCTATGTCCCATACTGGCAAGCTGCCATTCCCCATGAGTGGTCTCTGGGATTAGTTTACACCTCGCAGATCTGTTGGCGTTTTTATCAATACAGGCACGTTTTCAGCCTTACCCGTGGTGGAAGGTATTGGCACTGGTTGAAAGGGTTGTTTTTGTCACTGAGCAGACCTTTATTTCCGTGAAAAATGCCATATGGAGCCTGTGGCCTCGCATGCTCCTTGACTGGGCAACCACTTGGCAAGGTGAGCATGTCCCTCCCCATAAATGCAGGTGCAGCTCCTTCACCTTCCAGAGACCTTGGACGACACAGAAGGTATGTCCCGATCCCTTCTCCTCCCGCACCCCAGGAGCTCCCCTCTCTAATGTCACCTTCTCCAGCCCGGCTTAATTTTTCCAAGATGCTCTGCTGGGGCTGAGCCTGGGCACAGCTCATGAGTATCACCCGGGGTGGATACAATCCTCTGTAAGTGCCTCTGCCTGGGTGGCTGAGGAGGCTGCTGTCCTCCCTGGAGCGGGGAGGATTTGTGGGGCTTTGGGCAATTTTTAGCATGACCAAATTGTAGCTTTACTAAATCGTGGCGTTACCAAATTGCTGTGTTACCAGCTGGAGGGACTGCAGCATTACATTTGCAGCCGTAGCAAGGATGCAAGTGGGGGAAGGTGACGATTTAACTAGAGCAGCTACCACTGAAGAAAAAACAGTCCTAGGGGCAGCAAACCCTTACTTGGGTCAGGCTTTGGGTGTGTCAAAAACTGGAGTATTTGTTGGTCTTCTCTGCACATCTTACGAGGCCTCCCAGCACAGCCAGGCTCTCGGGTCACCTGGGCTTGGGCAGGGCTCAGATCCCCATCCGCTGGTGAAATATTACCCCAGGGAGCTGAGCGCCATGGGAAATAGTTCCTAAATGCCTTCCTCCGTGGGTGGGAGCTGCCGTGCTGCCTCAGCAGGGGGTCACTGGGGGACTCCAGCCTGGGTGAGGATGGGGCAGGGGCAGTGCTGGGGGGTGGGGGGCAGGATACCCCAGGTGAGGATGTTCCAGGCAGGGAAGGAGATGGGGAGGGGTGTCGGGGGGGATCCATGCCTTGGTCTGTCCCAGCACAGCTGCTGTAGGGTCTTTTGGGCCTCTGGTGCAGACCCAGGGATGGGTGGGAGAGGCACAAGCCAAGTGATCTTGGTGTCCCCAGCCGCTGCCACCCATCCCGGGCCTGGAGAGGTGTCTGGGCTGAGCACAGTGAACGAGGAAGTGACTGCTCTGCGTCACCATGAAATGGCATTTGCTCCTTTGCCAGCGAATTATCCGCTCCAGCCTTGCAAGCAGTCTGGCCTCCCTCCAGGAGGTTCGGATAGGATGAGGTCCTGCATGAGGCAGGAGCTGGATGGCTGGATGGGAATGCACCATCCCTGGGTCCTGGTGGTTCACTGCAAAATGGACGCCTTCCAGTGAAAGCAGTATGGCCAATGGAAAAACCTTGGTCACCTTCACTGCCTGTGCCAAATTCCCCTCCCAGCCAGGGGGGCTGAGCCCATCCCCATCCCTGCCCCTCTGCATGCAGGATGGTGGCCTCAAAGCTAGTGCTGTCGCTGCTCGTCGCAGCTCTCCTGCTGCACGTGGCCACCACGCTGAAGATCAGCGCCTTCAACATCAAGGCATTTGGGGATAGCAAGATGTCCAACCACACTATTGCAGACATCATCGTCTCTGTGAGTGCTGGGGGAGAGGAGCAGTCCTGGCCACTCTGGTCTCTGGGATGCAGCCAGCTTGGGGCAGTGGGACACAAGCTTTCTGCGGGCATACGTCCATCCATGTGTCCCTCCGTGCATCCACCCATCCATCAGTCCATGCATCCATCTATGCCTCCATTCATACATGCCTCCATCCATGCACCCATCCACGCATCCGCGCGTCCATCTATCTACCCATGACTCCATCTATCCACACCTCCATCTGTCTGTCCATGCCTCCACTCACCCACCCATCTGCTCTTCCCCCATCACCACCTCCAACCTTGGGCCATCTCCGCTCTTGCCAGTGCCCAGCCAAGGGTGGGTGATGCTCAGTGCTGCCCCGGTTCCTCACTCTGAGGAGCCTGTGAGTGAGGAGCTGCTGGGGTGGTGGGTGGCAGACAGATGGGTGTTAGAGGGCAATGTGTCACCCCAGGGTCCTTTCAAGGCAGAGGACACTTTCCCTGGGCTCTCGGGTCCCCTGCTGCCCCCCCCCCTTGCCAGCCTAGGAGCCTTCACAGCCCAGCCCAGGCACACATGGATGCCTCCACAAGCAGCTGTTGCCAGGGGCAAGCAGCTCTGAGCCTGTTCCCTCAGATCCTGTCAGGGTACGACATCACCTTGGTGCAGGAGGTCCGGGATGCCGATCTGAGTGCTGTGAAGAAGCTTGTGGACCAGCTCAATAGGTGACCCCAATGGTACAGGGCTGGGGGTGCCTGCAAATGGAGTGCTGGGACAGATCTCAACTGGCATCTCACTGTGCTGGGCACCTCTGGCTTGGCCGGAGAGAGCCTGATGGGTGCTGGGGTGCACCAGGAGCCTCCTCTCACGCTCTCCACATCTTGCTTCCAGAGTGTCCCCACACCCATACAGATTTTTGGACAGCATTCCCCTGGGTCGGACCAGCTACAAGGAGCAGTATCTCTTCATCTACAGGTAAGGGAGGCTGCCAGGGCCCAGCATTCCCCCTGCCACCCGCTGTCCCCCCCAGCAGTCCTCAGAGGGTGGTGGGTACCTTTGGGGACCCTGGCTGCAGTGAGAGCAGTGCTGGGGGCTGCCCTGCTCTCTTCCCTCAGGTCAGACATGGTCTCCGTGCTGGAAAGCTACTACTACGACGACGGCTGTGAGTCTTGTGGGACTGACACCTTCAGCAGGGAGCCCTTCATTGTGAAGTTCTCCTCGCCCACCACACGTGAGCAAAGCCAGCGTTGGGGGCTGTCCAGACCTGGCACAGGGTCCGCTCTGCATAGGGCTGAGCCTGAAGCTGTGCCTGCCCGGGGTTGCACCCAGCTCAGGGGCTCCACCAGGGTCCTTCACTGCTGTGGGGCCTTCTCCCACCCATGTGTGCCCGGGGTCCTGGGTACCTGCTCACCATGGCCAGCACTGCCTGCTATTTTCCACCATGTGCCATCTCCTACCACCTGCCATCACCTCCCCATTGCCTGTCATCTCCCACCATGAGTTCTCTCCTGTTGCATGCCATCTCATGTCTCCAGCTGTTTCCCTTTGTGTCCCACACACCATCACCCGCTACCTCTCATCTTGTGCCATACCTCACCATCTGCTTCCTTCAGTTGGATGCCATCTTCCATCATGTGCTATATCCCCTCATGTACTATCTCCCATCATGTGCCACCTCCCATCACATGCCAGCTTCCATCATGTCCCATTTCCCACCTTGTGCCATCTCCTACTCTGTGCCATCTTTTCCAACTCCCAGGAACCTCCCCAGGGCACACACACTCTCCTATCTCTCTCCAACCATGGTGGCTTGGAAAACTGATGGGAAACAAGCAGCAAACCACAAACCACATATGGAGGGATGCAGCTCCCCACTGGAAGTACTGGCCCGGAGGACAGGCAGACCACAAAAATCCAATGCACCCTTTCCCTTCAGCAGCTTTTCTCAACTGATAGCTGGGGCTTGGCCTGGGGTGGTCCCCTCGGGTTCCCACTCCTTTCCCAGGTGCTGCACCCGAGCCAGGGGCTGATGATCACCTGTCTGGCAGAGGTGGAGGAGTTCGTGATGGTGCCCCTGCATGCCGAGCCCAGCAGTGCGGCGCACGAGATCGATGCACTCTATGACGTCTACGCTGACGTCGTCAACAAGTGGGCCACTAACGTAAGCAGCAGTGGGGAGCTCAGCTCCTCCTTGGGGCAGCTGAAGGGCTGGGGAATGGCCACCACACATCCCAGTAGCCGTTCTGGGATGAATGTGTCCCCAGGAGACCTCTCATACCCATCAGAACAGGTACCACTCTGGCAATGTCCGGGCAGGGAGGTGCTGGGTGGCTCCACTGCTATTACTGGAGGCTTGTCCCCCTGTGTTGGGGGACCCCAGGGGGGTTTCTTGCTGCCCCATAAGGTCTGTGGGCAGGGACACAGTGCACTGCCCCGCAGAACATCCTCTTCCTGGGCGACTTCAACGCCGACTGCTCCTATGTGACCAGCACCCAGTGGCCGTCCATCCGCCTGCGCTCCTTCAACGCCTGCGAGTGGCTCATCCCCGACAGCGCCGATACCACTGTCGCTGACACCACCGATTGTGCCTACGATCGGTGCGTGCCACAGTGGGGGAGCGGGGCTGGCACGGTGGGCACTAGCGGGCACTAACACCCCCATGATGCCCCGGCAGCATTGTTGCCTGCGGCACCATGCTGCGCCGAGATATCAAGCCTGGCTCTGCCACAGTCAACAACTTCCAGAAGACTTTCCACCTCCAGAGCAAGGATGTGAGTGAGGGGCCAGGGCACACGAGCCTGCCAGCACTGGGATCCCACCCACCACGCTTCCTGGAAATTGCGGTGGCTCCCTGTTCCCCAGGGTGCACCCAAGGGTGGTCTGACCCCGACCCCTGCACCGATTCAGCCCCCTGAGTGTTTTGGGGTACACCCCAAATTTTGGGGTTGGAGTGGAGCATTGGGGTCCCAGCTGGCCATGATAGCAAAGGTGGGTTCAGACAAGCTCAGCCACCTCTCTGCTTTCCCACCACACCCAGGCTTTGGCCGTCAGCGACCATTTCCCAGTGGAGGTGACCCTGAAAGCCCGCTGAGCCTCTCCCCACGCCGGCAGCTACCAGGACACCCCGGCATGTACCTGCATCCCCCATGGAAGCCCACGCATCATCAGTGCCAGCCAAGCTGCCCAATGTCTCTGCAAGGAGCCGCTCTTCAGGGTCTTATGGGAGTGGGATTCTCTCTGCTTCTATTAAAAAATGAGCTTCTTCCAGCTCTTGCAGCTCTGGAGGGAGAGTAGCTTCAGCCCCCTCCAGCAGTCCCCCCTGAGTCCCGCGTCCCCCTGCCAGGGGCAACCCCACTGGGGCTGGAGCCAGGGAGGTCCCTGGGGCAGGGTGTCCCCTCCCACCATTGAGAGACCCCGGACCCACAGGGCAGCAAGTCCTGCTCCCTTCCGAGCTGCCAGTGGCAGAAGGACACCAGGAAAGGCCTGGGATACTTTGAGCAGGACTTAGCCCCTCTGTCAGATCACAGGATCTTCTGCTGGCTTAGGGGCTGCATCCTGCTGGAGCCTCTCTGGCTGGGGGGCAGCTGACGAGGTGCTGATGGTGAGGGTGGGGGGAGGCAGTGGCCATGAGTCAGTTCCCCGGGGATTTGGTGCCTCCCGGGGAGGTTTCGGTGGCAACACAGCACCGAGGGACACCACACTCATCCCATGACTCGGTGTGAGGATGCAAAACTCGACAGCGCACGCGAGAGCCTGGCAAGCCCCAGCATGAGCAGCCATCGCCTTCCCACCCACCCCGCTGCTGGCACCCCCAGCAGAGCCACCCGCTCCCTCTGCCAGGAGGATCCCATGTGCTGGGGTGATGCCGCATGATGGTGCGCGGGATGCTGGCTCCACTGGAGCTACTTTGGGTCACCAGTGGGGCTGCTTTGGGTCACCAGTGGGGCTGTTCCGGGTGACCATCAGGGCCGCTGCTGGGGGTTTGCAGCTGCCCCCTCTTGCCGAGGCTGGCAGTGCTCAGCCTGCCTGACCCAGACACCCCGCCATTTCCTTCTCTCCCCTCTAATTACACCATCTGAATCACTCACATTAAGGCCATCGCCCTTCACCACCTGTCTGGCTGCCATGCCCCACACTGCGACCCAGGGGACCACCCTGGTTGCTGCACTCCAAGTCCCGTGCGCCCACCCAGCCCTGCTGGGATGCCCCAGCACTGCCGTGCCTCCCCAGCCACCCTTTGCTGCGTCAGCACAGGGGCAGCTATGCTGGCCCCACCCTGTCGCCCCGTGGGTTTTCGGTTTCCCAATGTAGGAAGGAGCCCAAAGCCGCGCCAAAAACCCCACGGGGGTGTCCTACTCATCCTGCTTTGCCGGCACCTCCACTGGGAATAAAGCCGTCCATCCTGCTGCTGGGAGGGCAGAGGTGCTGCGCACTCACCAAGGTAAGGACAGATCTGGGCTCAGCACCTTCAGCTGTGAACTGGGAGGGTCTGAGATGAGCTAAGATGAGCTGGGATGAGGACTCGCTCCCTCACCCCAACAGTGGGGGCTGCAATCAAGTTTAAGGATGTGGAGCTGGGTGCCGACAGCAGTGGCTGGGGCTGGCAGACGATGGAGACATCCCGGTAGGGAGTGGAGCTGGGTGATCCCGGGGGCTGATAGAGGCGATACTGGGCGGATTCACCGCGACGGGATAGGGCTTAGTTTCCGCTGGGATTGGCAAACTAGCTGACAGCCTGCGCCAGCTCCACGGGCTGCTCCGGGCAGTGCCCACCATGGCACTTAGGAAGGATTTACCTGGGGCTTTTTTTTTCTCCATCCCCAAATCCAAAGCAGTTTTCCAAGTTTGGCTCCCATTACTGCATCCCTGCGGTTCAGCATCCCTCCTGGCAGGATGGGGACCGTGGTGCTGGCACTGTCTCTGCTGGCTGTGGCTTTCCTGTGCCCAGCTACCGCCACGCTGCGCGTTGGTGCCTTCAACATCCAGGCGTTCGGTGACACCAAGATGTCCAACGAGGAAGTGGCGGGCATCATTGTCAGGGTGAGTGCAGCTGGTGCCACAAGGGGATGGGCTGTGTGTTTCCTGTGCCAGGGACAGGAGGGGATATGGCCATGGATGGGATGGTATCCCAGTGCTGGGGATGCCCTGGGCACACCCCATGGTCCCTTTGAGCCCTCCGTGGGAATATCTGCCCCGGCACTGAGGGACTTGTGTGTCCCCGTGGTGCTGCACCCAGCACTGTGTCAAGGTGCCTGGCCAGAAGATGGGTGGGGGACCATGGCCCTGAGCTGGTGGCAGGCTCCTCTTCCCATTGCCATCCCTCTCGGCCTTGCAGATTCTGAGCCGCTACGACGTGGTGCTGGTGCAGGAAGTGCGTGACTCCGACCTCAGTGCCGTCACCCAGCTCATGGAGCAGCTCAACAGGTACGAGCGGAGCTGGGGCTGAGAGCACCTAGGTTGAGATGACAGCATTAGCAGGGAAAGCCAAGCTGTCTGACCAGTGAAGAGACAAAAATAGTTGTCCATCATCAGAGGTTTTGTTTTGGAAAGGGGAATAAGAGAAAAGTGTTGAGGCTCGAGCTTTGAACAGGCACTGAAAAAGCCACAGGGAGTAATCCGGGAAGGAGAAGGGGGATACAAATGGCACAGAACTCCTCTGAAAGCTGCAATCCACCTGGAGCTCACAGGATGGAAAGGAACTACAGCTCTGGCAAGCTCCATCTCCAAAATCCAACAGGACAGGGCAGAGGTGAGACAGAGGATGAAGGGGGCAGGGGCATGCAGCCCCCTGCATCCTAAGACCCTGTGAGTGCCAGGGGATGTTGAGATGGACCCAGCGGCAGATGATGCTCTGAAGTAAGCAGGTCAGGCCCCCCAGAAGGAAAAGTGGCTGCTGGGGTGGTCTAAAACTGGCCACAGCAGAGCAGCAGCCCCTCCGCCGGCTGGGTGCTGAGCCCATTTTGGGTGGGGGCACGGGCTGGGGCCAGGCAGAGGCTGCTGCTGCCTTGTTGAAAGGTGGTGAGTGCTTCTGAGCAGGTATGCCCAGCCCGTGTCCTTGCCCCTTTGGTGTCCCCTCCAGCACGGCCACAAAGCAGCTGGGGCAGGGAGGGTGACGCGGACACGGGGCCCCGGGGCTGCTCATTAACCTAATTTAGCTTTGCCACAAATGAAGGTGGAGAGCGTCCCTGTAGAGTAAGGGGTGACAGGAGCCGCCCTGCATCCTGCCTGTGGCCAGCCGTGCCCGAGGAGCCAGCCCCGGGTGGTGGGGACAGTGGGGTGGCTCAGAGCCAGTACACCTCATGTCACCCAATGGCTGGGCCACAGTGGCCCATGGGGACAGCAGAACAGGACTGACTGGTGCCAGCCCCTGGCCTTGCTAGGGACACCCCAGGACAGTGCCAGCCATGTCACTGTCCTGCCTTTGCATCTCTACAGCATGTCCTCTTCCCTGTACGACTATGAGATCAGTGGCCCCCTGGGACGGGACAACTACAAGGAGATGTACCTCTTCATCTACAGGTAATGGGTCTGGGCACACTGCTGCCTGTCCCATGGCACCATGGAGGGGCTGCATGGGCCGTGCCAAGCCCCAGGGTCACCTTTCCTTTGGTCCCACAGGACAGACACTGTGTCTGTGGTGGACACCTACCAATACGAGGACCCCGAGGACGTCTTCAGCCGGGCGCCGTTCATCCTGAGGGTCTCAGTGCCCCACACCAGTAAGTGGGGGGACAAATGGCTCTGGGCAGTGGCATGGGGTGGCTGTGGGGCTGATGTCCCTCTTCTCTGACAGAGGTGGAGGAGTTTGTGCTGGTGCCACTGCACTCAGCTCCGCATGACGCCGTCACCGAGATTGATGCGCTCTATGACGTCTACTTGGACATCGTCAGCAAGTGGGGGACCGATGTGAGTGCCACCAGCACTGGGGGTGGTACCGAGGGTGGGTGTCGAGCCTCGGGGATTGTTCAACCCACACTGGGTCCCCGCTTCAAGCGTGGTTGGTGTCAGGGGTGGTGGGATGGAGACCCCACTCCTGCCCCATCCCCTGCCATGAGGGATGCCCTGGCACCCTGGGCTGACCCCCACGAGTGGGCTGGTGTTGGGGGCAGCCCCGTTCCCCAGCCACCACGAGCCCCACCATCTCCCCACCCGCAGAACATCATGTTCCTGGGGGACTTCAACGCTGACTGCACCTATGTCCAGCGGAGCGACTGGTTGTCCATCCGCCTGCGCACCAGCGACATCTTCAAGTGGCTGCTCCCTGACAGCGCCGACACCACCGTGGGGAAGTCAGACTGTGCCTATGACAGGTGAGCGCTGCCACGGCACCACGGTCCCCTCCCCGGCACCCTGGGGCCCCCCTGCCCGTCCCTCACCACCAGTGGCCAAGCACAGGGACAAGAGTGGGACCCATCACTTGCATCTCCCTGGCAGGATTGTGGTGTGCGGAGCCAAACTGAAGAGAAGCATCGTGCCAAATTCAGCTGCCATCTACAATTTCCAGGATGCTTTCCATCTGGAGCAGGAGGAGGTGAGCCAGGCTCGCAAACCCAGGGCTCAAACAGCTGATCTGCCCTGGGCAGCACCAGCTGAGGGGCTGCCAACGTCTGTTTGGTATTAGGCAGCCCAGTGCAGCCACATAGCTGCTGCATTTAAGTATCAGTTCAAAAATGGAGTTAAAGCAGCTCCAGCAGCAGCCTGAGCTGGCTCCAGCCGCAGTACATGTGCCCTGGACCAGCACCCCTACTGGGATGCCCGCACAGCCCCTGCATAAGGCAAGCACCCCTCTGGGGACATGACCGCCTGGAGCCAGCTAACGGGGAGCTCGGGATGACAAGGGACCCATTGGTGGGAATAGGAGGGGGGATTTGGGGACATTGCCTGTCCCCATGGGGAGGAGATGAGATGCATGGGGTTTTTTGTGGCCTTTCATGGGCAGGAGCAGGCAGGACTCCAGGGCAAGGGGCAATCCAAGCCAATCTTCAACCACCCAGAGCTGGCACAGAGTTCCCAAGCGAGACACGGGGGTCTCGGAGGGCAGGTGTCCCCCTGCCAGTGCCTGGACATCTCTCCAGGAGAGGTGCCAAAACTGGAGCCTTGTGTGTTAAGTGTCTCAGGACTGGGGATATCGCGTACCCCTCCAGCAGACAGAAGGTTCTGGCAGGGCAATCACAGCCACCCTGCTGGCCCCACCAGCATGGTGAGGGGCAAGAGGCTTGCCAAACTCCTGCGTTACATCTCCCCACCTCTGACCCTGCTCCAGGCCCTGGCAGTCAGCGACCACTACCCGGTTGAGGTGAAGCTGATGGCTTGAGCTCCTCCTGCAGCCACAGACCATGATCCAGCTCCAGCTCCCACCACCACCCGCCATGAAGACGTCAAGGGGCCGCGAGGCGGCCGGGGCAGGGCTCAGCAATCAGTTAGCCGGCCTCAGGGCAGGCCCGGCAGTGAGCTGGGGGCGGGGGGGGGCAGCTGAGGGGAGCCCATGTCCCCCCCTGGGGTCCCTTGGGGCTGGGGGCTGTCACCCTCGACACCCCACAGCCCCCAGCTGTGTCCTGCAGGGCACCCCGGGCTCCTGCTGCCGGGGGGCTCGGAGTCCACAGGCCCCTGGCCCGCCACCAGTAGCGGCCTTGAAGGGAAGCTGCTACAAGTGTACCTGAAATTGCTAATGTGCAGGGACCTGTAATACAAGACATTTAGTTTTAACGTTAGACATCGCTGGTATTTTACTAGCTTTTATTTTTTCCTGTATTTCACTGTCACATAGATAATTTCATTTATACTTTTTCCTGACTACCCTCTGTAGTCGTTACCCAGTTAACCACTTGTAAGATGTTTTGAAACCTTTAACTCCTTGCCTAATAAAGATAAGACAGAGCTTGGACAGTCTGAAAAAAACTCCCCGAGTACATCCCTAATAGCAGGAACCTAAAGAAAACAAGAGCCTAAGAAGACGCCAGTGTCAAGATAAGGTGACTGAAAGCCGGTCTAAACTCAACTCCTCGGAGCAATCGGGAGCTGAAGGACGGATGAAGTAACTCTAACGGAAATGTGAGAAAGGCTGTGGGGACCCCTAAGGAGGGGAGAAGACCCTCACTCTGTTTTTCCCACGCATGCTCAGACTATGTAAATAAATTCTAAGACTCATTAGCATAAGACTGCCTTTTCTCAGAAATCTAATCCATGTATGTCCTTTTTGTGTCTACTAGTCAGTGTTTTGTTAGGCACTTGGGGTGGAGCGATCCCCAGTGCTGCCCAGCGCTGCGAATAAAGAATCTCCGCTGAACAGTTCTACTCGGTGCTGACTGGAGCGCAGCTCTTTGTTTCGGCCTCCGCCGGGCCGGCGCTGTGTCCCGGTCCCGGGGGCCGGGCCTGGGGTGTCCCGGCTGGAGGCGGGCGGGGAGGCGGCGGCAGCGCACACACACAGCGCACACACAGCGCACACACACAGCGCACACACACAGCGCACACACACAGCGCACACACACAGCGCACACACAGCGCACACACACAGCGCACACACACAGCGCACACACACA